ATTTAAACAATGTTGTTTGTCAACAAAAATATTCAAATAAACTAGTAAAATAATATTTTTTTTAAATTTGATATATTTAATAATTTTATTAAACATAAGATAACAACATAATTTGACACAATAACCTGTAACTTGTAATAATTATTTTTTAAATTTGTTTGTAATTTTAGATATCCTAAATATTCTTACTCAATTAAAATTTTCTATTATCTAACATCAATTCGAAGTAGAACAGATTATATTACCACATATTGAATATCTAAGAACTAAAGAATATCTCCAAACATGAATTAAATCATGTAAATCATTTAAAATAAATATTTTAACATAATAATTGAGGATGTTATAATTTATTTATCAATCATTTTGTATTTAATTTTTCAATAGTATGTGCTCAAAATTTTTAATGCCAAGCTAATTTAAAAAATTTAAAACAAACAATAAAAATTAAACTCATTTGATTTGATAATGATTTATCAAAAAATTGTACAAATTGTACAAATTATCCAAAATTATTTTTATTTACCTGAAATACCCGAACACGATATGGTTCTTACTCGTTTGATAATAATTTTAAATATCTGGATTATATATACCATATTCGCATAATCGATCCATTTTTAAAGAAATATTTCAAATATAATTTTGATATCCTTATATAACTCTCATATTCACTCTTATCCGAATTTTTTTTATCTCAAATAAACATATTATCTATCACTTAATGCTTTAAGAACTGTTGAATTCAACTAAATTTTCTAGTTTTTTTTGTGGAATTGCTGAATCTAGCTGAATCTTTCAGAATTTTGTTAAATAGCAAATGGTGTTAGCAGAATTGCTGAATCTGGCTGAATGTTGCAGAATTGAAATCTGTGTTACCATTTATAGCCTAGGTATCAGATTTTCCACAACACCAACCCAAACCTTAGAGCTACATTCTAGTTGTCTGCTGAGTTTTTTTTTTGTGTGCCTTCCACAATACTAGGACCTCATTCATCACATCTCTTAAAATATTCATTGGATTCTGATTAACATAATTATAAACTTTAATAGTTTGTTTTTCCATAGAACCATAGGATCCACGAGGAGTTTTTTTTCCCTTATTCCATAGGAACCATAATTTTTAGTGCATTCACTAAAAATAATAGGGGTAATTACAAAAATACCACTTTTTGTGTGCACATTTGCAAGAATGCCACTTAGGGGTGTCTATTTACAAAAATGCCACTAATTATAGATTTATAAAATCTATATCTTAAAATTCTAAACCCTAAAAAATGTTTTGACACCTAAAACCCCCTAAACACTCAAAACTAAACCCTAATAGAACATAATTAACCCAAATATAAATAATATAAAAAAATAGAATTTTGAAAAAGTGGCATTTTTGTAAAGATTTCAAAAATGTGGTATTTTTGTAAAGTGGCAATTTAAAAGTGCGTTTTTTGAAATTTCTCAAAATAATAATCAATGAGTCTAACTGGTGACATTCATCTTGAAGAATGGTGAAAAATGGTGACAAGTAGTTACCATTTGCACTTGAAGAATATATGAATAATTGACAAGTAAAAGACAAAAGTTGCAGAATTTGGATTACCATTTAAAATTTGTTGAATTATGCCAAAAACGTTCGTTTAATAATTGGTAAAGTGATTGTGCTGTTTTTATAAATAAATAGTTTTTGAAAATTCTTATTAATTTTAAAGATAATTAATAAAAAATCCTTGTAAAGCTTCCT